GTTCTGTATGTATGCAAAGTTCATGTTGCATTTATCTTAATAAGTGGGAAATGTTCCCGCAGTAAAAGTTGACTCATCTGGACTCTCTTTGAACTCTTTCTTTTTCTCCGTTTTGCTTTTATGCATTCTGTCCAGCACAGAAGCATAGGCAAATAAGAACTGTGAAATTTTGTTATTCTGCTTTGTGAAGGGTTGCTTGCACTGTTGCTTGTGTAAAATGTGCCCCCAAGCCAGCATCACAGAGCTCAAATTCACCAAAATGCCATTCACATGTAGAACCATCAGCTCCTGTACAGACCAGTGTATGAAATTCTGATCTCATATTGCCCCACAATAGGAGACAGCAGGTATGAAGCATATATACTTATTGATTCAAAACATTTTTATGCTACCTTTCTGCCTGATCAGGTTCCCCAAGATGACAAACATTAAAGCATTTGAACAACTGAAAAAAGCATTTAAAATTATAAAATAATTCAGTTAGATAAACATACAACCGCAGAGCCAGAGAGGAGGCCAATAACCATTACTGGGGGTGTACCAAATGAAACGAAAAAGTTTTCACACTGGTGGAACACACCGATTGAAGGAGACAGATGAATCTCCTTCGTGATCTTATATATGAATATAAGAACCTGCTTCATATTGAATGGGACCACTGGTCCATCCAGCTCCGTATTCTCCATTCTTGCCGGCAGTGGCTCCACAGGTTCACAAAGAAAGGTCTTTCCCAGCACCTGCTATTTAAGATCCTTTTAATTGGAAATGCAGGGATTCTGCATGGAAAACTGTTAAATGGTTTTGGCAGACAACTAGCAGCTGTGATGTTCCACAACCACACAAATGCACAAACTGTCTTTATGAGGGCAATGGAGAAACAAACCCCTTAGTAATAGGATAGAGAAAGTCATGTGTACAAGAGCTGGCAAGGGAGCATCCACAGTTTAAAAACTGTTTAAAGCCACTAAGAGTAGAAAAGCCCCTAAGCAAGAGACTCTCAGAAACATCAGTGTGAATTTGAGTTAGGGTAAATTATAGCAGAGAGAATCCCCTGAGTTTTACCTGAGCTTCCTTGCAAACGAGAGAGACATTCTGTATTACTGCACTTTCACATAAAGTCTTTTGCCCTACTAGTGTACCCAACATCTGCAATCTGTATAGGGCCTGTGATGATCATGGTGCCAAAGACCATGGCAATAGTGCAGGTCATACAGTCATAATGTAAAAACAGGAATGGTTTTGCCAACCAAGTGGTAGATGGTTCCTGCTTATCCCCTACTTCTTGCTTAATGTAATCATCACTTGGGGGAATCAGTTGTATGGAAGTGCCCTTGACATTTGAGCATAATTGAGATGATGGAGGGGGGAAAAACATTTACAACAGGATTACTGTGTCTTATTTGTTCAGATCCTTTACCTTTCCTCTTTGCAGGTATGAATCACATTTATCTTCAAAGCAGGCTATTCATAAAACAAACACGGCCCCTGAAATGAACAAGGGTGGTTAAATTGCAACACCTTTATTTATAGCAAAGATTACACCGATACAGGCTGTTTTCTTCATCTTCGGGCAATTGGCTTGTTGGACTTCATGAGACATGTTAGGAATACTTTACATAGATTAGCGACATTACACCACCAGGATTTTACTAGCTGCTGTTCTCTTTACATTAGTGATGCAGTAGTACCATAGCTTTGATTCTGGGGTTGCAGCTGAACCTGGGAACATGTTGATCACAGTGTCTCCTGCAACTGCTATAAACTTCTGCAGCCTACCTGAAGTTTTCAGAATAAAAGAAGGCTAAGGTTATTTGGCATTTTAAGTGAAATGTGAAGTTTTGCCTTCCCCAAAAGTAGAAAAGATCACAGAAGAGAATGTTTTACTGCACTGAGAACAGCTCAACATGAAAGCTTACTAAGGAATACGTAATATGAAAAATCACACAGACAGTCCTCTCGTATTGCCATTTAGATCTATCATTCTGATTGATCACTGTGTGTTTCGCTATTATTGAGTCTAATTTAACCCTATACTCTCGCACATCCATCTACTCCATCTATTGTACCTGACATTCTACAAATTACTTACTCATGCAAATGATGACCTAAGTCAACCTTTTATGGTATTCGTGTTTAATTATACAAATGGTATCTGATAAATAAGATTATACATCCTTCCATATGTTGATTCCCTCCTTGATGAAAGTGAAATTTAATTTTCATGCAGATTTGTTGGAGGCGGTGTTTAATAAGTGCTGAGTTTTCTGTAGTGTGCAGATCACCTGGTTTTGGGAAGCTGACAAAAACAAAATCAGTGGGCACAGTTCACAGAGATGAACAGTTTTTAATCAGGTCCAGTATGAGTGGTTGTATCATGGCATCCTACAACTAAAGCCCACACTTATTTGTACTGATACAATAAAATGAATGCGCTGGCAAAAGTAACACGAATAATAGAAGAGATACGAACTTAAGTGCTTTTTTCAAGGGGGTGCTTTTATATTCAGTAATAACTTAATGTTACTATATGATCAATTGCATTAATTCCATTAAGACACTGATGCCCTTTGAAAACAATGTTGTGTTCAATTGCTAAAGCCTTGTCTCACGGACTGAATAGGAGTAAATTGAACATCGATAATAAGGTAGTTCTGCTTTTTTATTTTCCAGATTTGTATGCCATCTGTCAATACCAGTTTTCTAAGTGGTGTGTAACTTTAAAAGCAACACAATTTATAATAATTTAACCAAACATAAAAATCCATAACACCTCTACCAAACAAACAGCAGACCTAACAGCAGGAGTCAAACAGAGGCCTCCCTCTCCAAATCCTGGTGCAAAAAAAAGAAGGAAAAAAATGGTCAGTGCTCTAACTAAAAGAGGCAAGGCAAGCCATGGGGGCTTTGTGAGAGATGACAAGAGGTTGTGGCACAGTGGTAGGGCATGTGCTTTGAATCCAGAGGGTCCAGAGTTCAGTTTTGCTCCTTGTTTGGGACTATAGACTGTATGAGCCCCCTTGCCCTTAAACTAGTTGCTCCAGTCCCTGTACCTTCTTGCTGATAAATGAATACCTCCAGGGAAGAGGGAAAGGAGAGGCTTTCAAAGAGACAGAGTGAGTTGAGAAGGGGTGAACAGAAGGATGGTAGAGAGGGACAGAGAGAGGATCAGACAGAGAGAGCCATGAGGAGCACAAGTTAGTCTAGATTGGGATGATATTGGGTGGTCGGATCAAGAAGGACAGGAGGAGTAGGAGATACACTGGCAGCTGGGCAGATTTGGACTGGCAGACGAAGGGGAAGGATAATGGAGACATAGAAAAATGGCTTGAAGGAGAGAGGTATTCAGAGCAGGATACCAAGCATGTGGGGGAGAAAGAGAGGAGGGGGACTAATATTGTGTAGAAGAGAGTGGGGGGGATAAATTATATGTGGCTTGAAACTGAATAGTGAATGTGGAGAAGGACAGAAGGAGTAGGAGATACATTGGCAGCTGGGCAGATTTGGACTGGCAGAGGAAGGGGAAGGATAATGAAGGAGACATAGAAAAATGGCTTGAAGGAGAGAGGTATTCAGAGCAGGATACCAAGCATGTGGGGGAGAAAGAGAGGAGGGGGACTAATATTGTGTAGAAGAGAGTGGGGGGGATAAATTATATGTGGCTTGAAACTGAATAGTGAATGTAGTCCAGGTGCCGCTATGTAGTGGCGGAAGGTAGTCTTGAGGCAGATTGAAACCAATTTGCCAATTTAAAAACTGGTCTTTTCCCCTACATTTGCAAGCTTTTTGGTCATGTGATGTTAGAAAAAGGGCAGGAGTTACCTCATCAAGAACTGGTCTGGTAACTACGCTAATCTGTGACAGGATATTATCCTATTTTTTATTATTAACTCAGGAAGGCTGCTTGGTTGTCCTGTCTGATCTTTGCCTGTTCTTTTGGATATTTGCTAAACAAGCACTGGTTATTTTGTTCGGCTTTGATTTAAGGGAGTTGCAAGATAGTCAGGTAACTACGCTAATCTGACAGGATATTATCCTATTTTTGATTATTAGCTCAGGAAGGCTGCTTGGTTGTCCTGTCCGATCTTTGCCTGTTCTTTTGGATATTTGCTAAACAAGCACTGGTTATTGTGTTTGGCTTTGATTTAAGGGAGTTGCAAGATAAACTTTCAGGCACACAGGATGCATGGTTCTCTGGCTACCCCATCATGAGACCGCAGTTTATCTAATTTCATCGAAAGGTCTAATTAAAGATTCTTGGCCCGACTAAGATGGAGTCTGCCTACTATACCAATATCATCTGTGGATTAGAAGTTTCAGGTGATATTTGTTGATGAAAGAATCCGGGAGTGGAGAAGGTCAAGGAGGAGACAGGTTTGCAGTATACATATAGTTTCTGTTCCTATAGTTCAGTGCTGTTCTTACCCTTTGGCACTGTTTATTCTAGCTTTAAACCACTTACCAGAAAATTGAACAAGCACCCTTTAGGCTAGAGAACTGAATGGACATGTAAATATCAAAAACATTGCAATGGCACTTGTTTGTTTATTTATTTATTTTATTTTATTTGTATCCACCCTCCCAGCCTGGGCAGGCTCGGGGTGGCTTACCGGTTTGTTGTTTTATATATATATATATATAAAACAACAAACGAGTTAAAACACAGCATTTAAATAAGCAAAACCACATCATATAAAATCATAAGTGCCAGTAACATAGATGTCAAAGTGCTAAAAAATGGTGACAGTGTGCTCTCAGCATCCAGATGTATGTGAATCTTGACCTGACATTTTCAGAGCTTTGACTCATTCTAATTGAGTAGCCTCATTTATTTCAATATGCCACTTAATTGTCACATGTTAGAGTATTGTGAATGATTAAAATAATGCCACAATGCCAATTAGACAGAAATTATGCAAATGTGTAAATCTTTCCCTCAGACCCTTTAGGGCTTTCTGATAATTTCACAGCTTGAATGTAGTTCTTTCATTTGTGTTTTTCAGGTTTGGTCCGTTAACTCTGTGGGCCGGACTGCTAGCAGTTGGACCCGATGTAGGACAGGGCCAGCCCCTCCTCAAGGCCTTCATGCACCTCAGTTTGGTACAGTGGCTTCAACCTTAGCTGTGGTGAACATAAGCCCTCCACTTAAGCCAAATGGAATAGTCAGTCTCTACAGGCTATTTTCAAAAAATACTAAAGGGAATGATGTAGTGGTGAGTAGTGTGTGTGTGTGTGTGTGTGTGTGTGACTATATGTGTGTGGGGGCAATTATATATATATAATGCAGTTTGATATTTTAAATGTTTTAATGCCTTGAAGTTTGCTACTTTGCAGACCCTATTTGGGTGGAAAGGCAATATATAACTGTTTTAATGAATGAATAAATGAAATACTTACTGATCAATTTGTTTTTGGGCCAGTGAAATACTTGATTTAAAAATATTTAAAAATATTTTTCTTTAGTCATTTTTTCAATTACAATTCACACTTTACATACATTAGTACATGTAGTAAATGGGTGTAGTTGTTCAGCATTATTAATATTTGTGATGAATTCACATAATGTATTATATACTGATGACACAGAACTTTTGTATTATCATAGGAATTGTGTGGGACTAGAAAAGAATCAATTTGTTTTTGAGCCAGTGAAATACTTGATTTAAAAATATTTTTCTTTAGTCATTTTTTCAATTACAATTCACACTTTACATACATTAGTACATGTAATAAATGGGTGTAGTTGTTCAGCATTCTTAATATTTGTGATGAATTCACATAATGTATTATATACTGATGACACAGAACTTTTGTATTATCATAGGAATTGTGTGGGACTAGAAAAGAATGCTGAAGGGGAAATTTAATAGGTGCATGGTTTGAAACCATGACTTGAAAGGACAGATTTGATGAAGACATTAATTTCATATTTTAGGGATAGAGAGCATGCTTGGATTTTTATATTAATCCTTTTTATTCCTGGTTCTGAAATGAAAACTCTGTCTACAAATTATTGAGTTCAGTCATCTGGGTGCAAAAATCTGCTTAATAATCAGATATTTCCTTCATATGGCCCATATTAGAGTCCATTATCCTTGCATAGTTGTTGTCTAGAAAAATACATCTCCAGAAAGCAATTCATGAAACCATACTGGAAGCAAGCCAAAGAGGTATTCTACAAATTTCAAAGAATAAGGTGGTACAATGAAGGTGAATAATTCTGGAACAAAATTAGAATAATTTTCACATTAATGAAACTCTTTTACTATTTTGGGATGCTGCAAAGGCCTTTGACAGGGTAGAATGATCCTATCTGTTTAAAAATAATGAAACCTTTGGGGATTAATGCTATTATAACTTTCTTCATACAGACTATTTACACAAAAGCCATAGCAAAGATTCTGGTAGACTCCCATTTTGCTGTCTTTTTGTGTTGGAAATGGGGGAAAAAGCGAGAATTTTTCTGACTGACGCTTTTAGGTTAATCAGTCAAATACATGAAAATCAATCTCTTACTGGAACATGGAGGTTAGATTAAAATTACCCTTTATACCAAAGGCATAATGCTTCCTTTAGAACAGCCTATAGGTTCTTTTTATAAGTTTTCACAATTAGTAGTTGATCATTGCTTTATTTCTGCTATTAACAGAGATAAATTAGAATTATTATCCTTATGTCAGGTATAGATTAAAACGTATAAAATAATGTTTTAAATAAATTTATTTGAAAATACATAGAACACCATTTAATGTTTAATCCTTTTCTCAAAAAAAAAATCAGGTATTTACCTTACTTAGTAAAGATGAATTATGGAGGATTCCTTGAAAGAATACATGAAAATGTGGAGAGATGGAGCAGAGTTCAATTTTTCTGGTTTGCTCATATTTTCCATCATTAAAATAGTCCTTCACTAGACTTGTTTTCTTGTTCATTTTCTTCCTTTTTAGTAAATTCAAAGAACATCATAAGATAAAACATATTTTATTAACATCAGTGAACAAGCTAGAGTTAAAATCAAGCTTTTCCGAAGCATCTGTCTCAGAATATTCTTCGCCCTCATAATGTATGCTTTTATAATGTGGCTTCTGAACTTCATTGGCAGGGCAAGTGGTTTATTCAGAATAAAAATGAAGTTTGGCTGAAGTTTGAAGACTTAAGGATGTGAGAGGGACTAGTAATTTTATTATCTGTGAGATTCCTATTTGATCACTGTGTTGGAACCCATCATGGTACCAATGTTTTCAAGTTTTATATAGGACCACAATTCCCAGCTATTAAAATGACCCAACTAGGAGTTTTTGCTGTTGAATAATCTAAAGAAAACTTGTTCTTTCTCCATTGTGGTTGAATTATGATACCAGGGAAGGTAATTTTAAAGTAGTGTGAGGAAAAGATGTAGGGTTCACTGTTACTGAACGGACATGAACTAAGATCCAGTGTATGGTGAATGGTTTTTGTCTTAGCTATTCTAGAAAAGCTCAGTATGAGATTCTATGTACCTGGTAATTAATACCAGCAAGATTGAACAGGATTTTCCATAGTGAGTGTTTTGCTCTCCGTGCAGATTTTTTATATGTATGATGGGCTCCCCAGCATCCAACAATATTGGGCTCAAGCTTTATCAGTCGTTTCTAATATTTTTAGTATTACTATTGGATCCATTGCTTATATTATTGTGCTATACAAGTTAGGATTATCAAACTTTTCTTAAATTGCTCTTAATAAATATTTTGGTGCCACCAAGATTGTTTGGGCAAGATATTGCAACAAGTATGTGATACCCATAACTAAAGAATAATAGTTTCAGCCTTGGAATTACTCCATTTATTAATTATTGGAACAGGTACCCAGACTTCATCAAGACTGAAAATAATATTTTCTTGCTGTAATTGTAACAATTGTAATTCTGTTTGTTTTAGTTTTATAAACTACATGAAAAAGGAATTTTAGACTGTATCAGGCACTTGCATGTCCTATTTGTGAATCCTCCTATCAAAATCTGTTTGCATGTTTCAGTAGACTAGCATATCAAAGAGAATAGTTTATTACAGTCTGTTTCCTGATATGCTATTTTATTATATGGAGAGAGGCCCCCCACAAAAAAAAAATGTTAATAAATAAAGTTCTTCCCTGTGTTGAAGGTTGTCCAGGCTACTTAGCAGGACATTAGTTGAAAGTGGTAGAATACTTTACCACAGTTTATCCAACTAAGGATCCTAGGCCTGAAGACTGCTTCATTAATCTGGCTTTCTGTTTCCAACATGATATGGTGTCTTCTTTCTTATCAGTTGTCTGAAGGAACTGCCACCCAGCAAACAATCCATGGACTCAAGCCATTTACTACCTATTCTGTTGGTGTAGAGGCCTGCACCTGTTTCAATTGCTGCAGCAAAGGACCTGTGGCAGAACTCACCACTCAGCCTGCTCCACCTTCACAACAGCCACCTCCCTATGTACATAGTGTGACCTCAAGGAATGCTTCTTTTAAATGGGATACACCACAGGAACCCAATGGCATTGTTAGAAGGTAGCATTAGAAAGATAACTAAGAGTGGTAGGACTAAAGCAATAAAAAAATATATCCTAGCCGAAATATACTATTGATTTTAAATGGTTCTATTCTATTTAATATGTAACTGTTTTATGAGATTTGTTTTAAGCTGCTCACTGTTTTATGCTGATTTTTTGTTTTGTTTTCTAATTTTGTTTTATCGGACTAGGTTTTTAATCCTGGGTTTTCAGTTGTTAATAGGGTTGCCTGGTTCCCCCGACCACTGTCAGGGGAGCGGGGGAAAGGGTTGCCAGCTCCAGGTTGGGGAAGTCTTAGAGATTTGGAGATGGAGCCTGGGGAGGACAGTGGCCTCAGTGGGGTACAATGCCATAGAGTCCACCCTCCAAAGCATCCATTTTCTCCATGGGAACTACTCTCCATAGTCTGGAGATGAGCTTTAATTCTGGTGGATTCCCCAGGTCCCACCTGGAGACTGGCATCCCTAGTTGTTAATGACTTTCATATTTTGTGTCTTCTGTTTTGATTATGTTTTACTTTGTAAAATGAGCAAGGTCTCTAGGGAGGCAGCGCAGAAATCATGTCAATAAATAAATACTTTAACAACATTCTCGTGGCATCAATAACATGGAAGAAATTCAATCGTGTTTGTTTAATGCCATGTATGAAAATGCCCTGGATTACAGAGATCAGGAACACAACATCAGCTGATGCTGGTTGTATAGCATTGAATCCATGGCCCAAAACCAATGGAGCAAATGTATAGTCCAGTCAAAGAGGCTTTGAATTCCTGTTGTTTCTGAGTGATGGTTGTAAAAATAACTATAGCCAACTTGCCCTTCCTTAGAACTGATTGGCAAGATTTCAGCTTTTTTATTGGTTTTCCTGCCTGCTACTCTGGCTGCTGGACTGGGCTGTAAATCATGTGCACAAAACCCATTTCCTTGCAAGATTCTCCATCCAGCTAGAGATACGTATACAGAAACCTGTCTTCATTTGTATATAGCACTAAGTAGGAATGGGTTGCATATAGGTTATCTGCTGATCATCGAGACCAGTCCTAAAATCTGAACCAGTAAAGACCACAGACACTGAGTGAGAACTTCACTAATTAAAATCTACTGTGAGCCATCAGCATGCATAAATATAAGTGCTCCAAATCTACACAGAAATATTTATGTTTTTGAGGATAAAACAGTAAAACATAATCAGAAACCATCAGACAGATTCTGGTATCTTTCTGTTTGCTGTTATGATGACCAGGCAACAAGAGGTGGGAGGGACAGTAACATTAGAGAGAGGGAGAGACTCAGCAGATATGCCCCTAGCAGGAATATTGTCCAACCAGAACAGTTAGCCAATCTTCCCACTAAACCAGATAATAACAATTGACATTTCTGTGCATACCCTTTCCTCTTTCTGTCAATCACTGCACCATCTCAGTGGCTTTAGGAAGGCTTTGTGATTCTATATAAGAACAGATCCTGTGCTTGCCTGAGTTATTTCATTATCTAGGGTCGCATTAGTTAGGCAGAATCAGCAGTTTTGTTTGTTTCCACTGGCAAGCAGGCAGGACAGATTGGGGATAAAGGAGATTAACACACACATTCAACAGGCAGTTTACCTACTGAAACTGGGGGGGGGGGAGATAAAAACAATAAATATTCTTCCTACCTCAAGATAGGCAGCAAGCTCACTGGCAATCCAGCGTCAGAAACAAAGAGTTTGCTTGTAAAAACTGACAGACAAGCAGGGCTGCAGAGATGCAAGCAGAAACCCATCCTTTGTGCGCCCTGAAAACTGGGGTGGGGAGAGGCTTAAGGCTTCCCTCTAATAGCAGAGAGCATAAACATGCATACATGATGTGAGAGAGGTCAGTGATGGTGAAGGATTAGGCCATCTCTGTCCTGTTCAGATGACCAGGTCTCCCGGGTGCCTGTATTGTACTATAAGGGTTGCAATCTGCATGAATCTGTCAATTCACATGTAAACCTTGGTTTATGTGTCTAATTTTTAAGCAAAACTGGAACATGTGTGCAAGGAGAGCTAACTGCCACCTTGCCTCACCGTAGTTCACTTGCTGGGATCCATTACCAGAGGGTGGGATATAAGTCTAATGTAATAAAATAAATAAATAATGCTGAAATAAACAGAATGTAGTGAGGCAAGATATGAGAAGGAGAAATGGTTTACTTCTATCACCTGCATGCTTAAAGAAACCCCTAGAATCCTGCATCCCCTTGCTTAAGGACCTCAAGGGAAGAGGGAGAATATCACTTGCACTCCAGTGCATGGTTCCTTGTGCCCATCCTGCAAGTGAAACAATTAATCTCTTATAGAACAGGAATGTTTCTGTCATCTGCTTAAAATTTGGAAGGAGTGGATCCTTTGAGTGAAGGGTTTACACTCAGAAATGGACTTCTCATTGGAACTAATGGGAATGACAATCAGGTTTATTTTCTAATACGACTGCCTTAATTTTGATATTCAGGTTTATTTTCTAATATCAGGTTCATTTTCTAAAATGCCTGCTTTAATTCTGATATTAAAGAATTAAGTTCAAGTTTTTTAAATCATAGAAGAGCTAAATGGGAACCTGTTGTGTTCTGCCCATTGCTAGTAAACATACCAACAATCTTCAGTGTGCTGTCAATGTCAAAAAATTTAAATTGTATTAAATAAATCAGGAATTAATATTACAGTTTAAGAAAGTAAAAAGATTATCTTTTTTCTTAGGCATGTACAAAAATAATCCCATATATGTACAGAACCTAGAAATTTTGTGCTAGTGTTTAGAAATTTGTAATATATTTTTCTAAACTTGTGAAAGGTTAGTGCTTACACTTTTGATGCTGGTCCCATCTTTTCTTTTCTTCCAGGTATGAACTCCAGATGTACATGTCCTGCCCTCCCCATTTACAGCCAATAGAAAGGTCTTGTAAACCTGGTCCTGTTGAAGTGAAGTATACCGGCAGTGGCCAGAGTTCCAACGTGAGTGATCTGCAGCCTTACACAACCTACTACCTGAGAGTTGTGTCCTACAATTCAGTTGGCAGCAGTACTTCAGAATGGATTAGCTTGGTTACCAAAAAAGAGGGTGAGTTTGTAGAGGCAAGCATAAGAAATTAATAATCATCTAGCCATATTGTATTCAGCTTAGGTACCCATTACATAGTTAGACCATTTATCCCAGGCTAAATTAAGCAGACAGCTCATTCAGAGATTTATTTATTTTATGAGATTTATACCCTGCCCTCCCCGCCAAGGCAGGCTCAGAACGGCTTCCATTAAAATTTAAAAAGAGATTAAAACCATAAAACACTTCTAAGGTGTTATATATAAGTATTACATGTATGATGACAAACATAATTTTTTTTAAGTATTAACCACAACAGTAGTTGTAGGACTACTGTCTGGCCCCATTGTATGTTAAGTATCAGTATGGTACAATGGCCAACAATAGATTCCAGGGCAAGGCTCTAATTTTATGTTAAGATGTTAAATGCGGCTCCTTAATCGAATGCCTGGTAGAAGAGCTCCATCTTGCAGGCCCTGTGGAACTGTCATAAATTCCTCAGGGCCCTGATGTCCTCGCGGAACTCATTCCACTAGTACGGGGCCATCACAGAAAAGGCCATAGCCCTGGTCATGACCAGCCTGGCATCTTTAGGGCTTGTACTGAGTCTGAAAGCTCTCTCTCATGTTATTAGCCAAGTCAGTAGGCATGGGAGTCAGAACCTTTCCTAAGGAACGTCATTTTTTGTTTGTTTGTTTGTTTTGAACCACAGTGTTTTGAACAGAAACTTTCTGATGCGTCACCAACTTAGTCACCTGACACACACACCCGAAGTCCAATAGCAGTGGTACCAAACATATATCCTGAGTGAGGAAGTTCCACAGCACAGGGCAGCAGCTGAGAAAGCCCTTGCCTGGTTCCCCACCAATCACACTTCTTCAGAAGAAGATTCTTTCTCAAGTCCCTCCAGATCTAAGCCAACTGACAGAGTTTATACTGTAGCAATGTACCCACTCCCAAAGCACAGAATTAAAGCCAAATTAACCACATTATGGTTATAGTGGACATTTTGCCTTTGAGGATCTTTTTTGGGGGGGGGTAAAAACTGTATTTTATTTGGGTTAGATTATGTAGGTGGACATTTATGCCATTGTTTCTTTATACCATTCCTATTTTCATTTACAGCCTCACAGTAAAAGTTACTAAAGATTAGTGATCTGAAACACTGACTTCTCTGCAGCTTTACCACAATGGTTTTGCAATGAAAGGCTGGCCTCCTAGGAGCCATCATTACAGGTCACACTGATTATATAGTCTAGTTAGTTAATTACTGTATTAATTTATTCAGCTTGTTAACTCCATCAGCCTTTCAGATCTGTTGTGCACACACTGTGGTTCTTTGTTTCATCTTCCTCCACAGGTTTTGAAACACGTAATTAAAAAAGAAAAAGAAAAAAGTCACTGGCTTGCAAGCTTTCCTCTTTGCTTTAGTGCAGAGCCAAAATCATGACAGATGAGCATACCTGCCCCATGTCCATAAACTGACTTTCTTCCCAATTATAACTGGGGGGCAGAGTGTGAATCCCTTACCATGATGATAAAATGATGTTTATATATAACCTTATATTTAACATTATGTAGAAAACACACACACACACACCACTCCCCCCCTGAGTTTGTTCCAAACACTGCTAATTTTCTGTTTTGCGTTCTTCACCACTGAAAATACAGAGACATGCACATTGGCAGTGAATCGTACACATGGAAGTTTTCTACACACTTTGGTCCATCAGCCACCTTGCACTTCCCCCTGCCATGCTCCAGAGGGGTTTTTAGAAATCAGGAAATGATATAGTGTTATAGTATTGTAGCTGTGTAGCAATGCTCATTTTCAAAAAGTGGAGGAAATGGCAGCTGTAATAGATGAAGAGAAAGAAAATGGCACCAATACGGGACCTCTGAAAACATGCCTTTCCTGTCCAACTGACATGATAACATGTTTGGACTACACTCTTCCCAAAATGACTGTAGCAAAGGAGGTTCAGGAAAAAGTGTGCTGAGGATGGGAAAGGATGACTGGAGCAAAATTAAAGGACGTAGTATGTCCAATTTAGACACCAAAGTGGTGAAAACCCTCTGCTGAAGCAGCCTAAAATACTATATGACTCACATTATTTGGAAAAATAGATTTTGAATTCATACAAGAAAATTAGAATTATTTAAATATGCTTGGGATTCTTATTTTCTAAATTCATTTCTGCGCTATCTGTAACCACTTAGTGAAGAGCCACCATTGATTTTTCTAACGTGTAAACATCATAGCTAAAAGATTAGGGATTTAAATTCCTCCCCCTATTATAATTGGGATGGAAGTATCCTCCAGCATTTAAGATTTGGGTCCTATGACATTGTTCCATCCAGGTTTCTCTCCTTCAGTGACAGAGAATTTCCTCTGCTGTGGTGTTCACTTCCTATGCTGCCTACTAGCTCTTCCACTTGCATAAGGGCTCCTTGAAAAACATGGCTCTTGTGCACACAGAAGTTCTAGCAGCAGAGGCAGCATGTGCTGCTGTGGGGAAAAGACTCCACAGGGGCCAGAGAGAAATGCTAGGGGAAGGATGTCATGGGTTCCAAGCCATAGTCTTCAGTGAATGCTTCATGAATCTTCATGGCTATGAAGCACTTTTAATGAGGAGCTTGCATGCTAGACATTCCTGTGCCCAGATTGCCATATATAATTATATTCTTCAGCTTCAATGAAAGGTTGCCAATCATTGGCAAGATTGGGGCTGCCTCTCGGATTGTGTTGTCCACAAAGGAAAATTGAGTTGCAACTGATTGCAGCCCCAGAGTTGCCAATGTAAATGACATACATGTTTGTTTGTACCAAGTTGGGAAATTTTAGAAAACATCTCTCAAGACAGAACGCAGTATGCCAGTTCAGCTCTCCCTTCTCATCTTGTCTGCCTTTCTGGCATTTCTCATACAATTCTCACTAAGCTAAAACTAGATGTAATAGCTGAGAGTGTGTGTTACAAACTGGAAGATCCTGGATTCCAGTGCAACTTCAGCTACAAACTCATTAGCTGGCTTCAGGCAAGCCACTCTCTTTGGTTCTGCTCCTGTCTGCTGTGAGGGGATAATAACACAGATCTACATGTGAGGGAGCAAACTGGGACCTGTGCAACATAACTGGGCCACAAAGAAAATTAAGAGCAAAAGACAGGAATGAAGCCAACAGACTGAGAAGGATTTTCCAAGAGTCAGGACTAAGAAAGACAAAGCAAAGAGTCCAAAAAGTGGGTTCATGTCACAGCACAGGAGCTCTGAGGAAGAGCCAACCATTAGCCTCTATCTGCTTCTTTCTTTGGAGCGCCTGGGAGCTGGATCCAGAGAAGCTGGAAAGATCAAGTAGCCTCAGGTCAGCTGGCCTTCTGAGATAGGGCGAGTATGAAGAGCTATTGCTGGCTCTTGGTTCCTGAACTGATGTTTGAGAAGCATAGGGAACAGTTCAGGTATAAAAGCTCAATAATATATTATTGTTTCCTTCTCTCACTAGTTGCAGCAGCCCAGGTCCAGATAAATTGTTTCTTCACTTAGATACTAATATAATGTTTCTCCACATGGTGACTGAGGCAGAAAATGGCTTTAGCATTTATATTGATGTATTTAATCTCTTGAAGTTAGAGGCTCTTTTCAATTTATAAGCAAACTAATTTTTTTTGCCAGTACCCCAGTACAAAGCTCCATTTACAGTTGTCAGCAATTTATCCACAATCTACCTTGACTGGAGTCACACCTTCCTTCTGAATGGACAGCTGAAGGAATATGTGCTAATGGAGGGAGGCCAGCGCGTCTACAGTGGCTTTGACACCTGGCTGTATTTGCCAAGGACGTCTGACAAAAGTCAGTTTGGGTTTCTCAATTCTCTTATTTATGATAGTATGTCTGTTATGTACTTAGTGTTTTTATTAGTATTTTACAAAACAAAACAACACACAGGAATTTAGGAGAACCTATAAGTCTCATGTAATTATGTTACATTTGACAAAGGGTGGGAACCCCAGATCCAAACTGTGTGCTCTGTACGTGTGAAGAAGCAGGACACATCCCCTTGCGTAGGGTCCAAGCACTGTGAAGAGGTTGCAGAAATGACTTGCAGGTTCAGGGAGGGTCCAGCCTCAACTGTAAGACTGTTATTCTGTAGGGCTGCCATGGGCCTACTGGGTTGGGAGATCTCTGGTCCCCAGTGGGCCTTGCCTGCTGGCACTCCAGTGGGTGGCAGGAGAAAGAATGTTTTTTAAAAACAACAAAACCCTGCCATCAGCAATGGTGTGATGTCACTTCGCAGAAAACCTGATAGTGATGTCACAGCTCTCTAGGAACCACTTTCAGTAAGACCTAGAGAGGACTGGCATCATTTCCACTTTCCCCAGAAGTGACATCAGTCCTATATAGGAATCATCAGAACCTCTATGGCTTTACTATAGAGCTGTGACATCACTTCTGGGTTATCTGAGAAGTGATGTACACCATCACTGACAGTCAATCCCACCCCTACCTCCATTCTCCTGTGGGTTGCTGGGCTGGGCGTGGCAACCTATTAATGTGATATGGTGTATTTATGACATTGGAGGGATAGTTTTTGTCACATTTTTGTAGACATTTTGTTACAACTTATGACTATATTTGCGTTAGACAGAGGCCTCGGAGCACATATTTATGTACCCTGAGAAATTAAGCTTTAGACCCTGCCTTTGTGTACTAGGAATGCCTTTGTGTTCAGTGGAATGAGAAAGTCCATTTGGAGGCTCTGGATCAGCGGCCTTCAGTGTGGACCTGGTTGCCTACCACATTCTTTGTTAGAACTACTAAGTCACCTTAGTAGCCTGCTTTTCACATTATGTGTCATGGGTACAAAGAAATCACTTCTAAATCTGTGTCCATGAAATATTGTGGGAAGGCCTTTACAGTAAAATGCTAAATTACACCCTTCTAAGTCCATTGACTTCAGTGAACTTAAAATAGTTAAGATTGCACTGTAAAAAATAGCAAGCTCCTAACTTCCGAACTATAGAGGCAGTTAATATCTGATACGGACGTAGTATATGATAGTTTACTATTTCATGCACAAATCTTGTCGCATCCAATTTTTGAAAGACACACATTAGAAATAGTACACTTATGGTTAAGATTTTTTTTGTCTGAAGCATGTGTATAATGTGATTAGAATGTTTATAGAAATTGGTTCCATTTTATGAATCTTTACCATAATCACAATCTTTATATATATAATGCTATGCATTATATGCCTGATCAAGAATGAATGTTTGTGTATAAAGCTATATCTTGAGGGTGTTTTTCCTCTGTATATTGTGAACTGGAAATTGGCAATGCAGGGTTAATACACAACAAGTGCTTTCTAAAAAAGGAATTATCAAATGTTTCTCCAACACTCAACCCCAATATTCAGCTACCTTTTTTATAGCTGCATACCATGCATCTGTAAATAGCTGACAAGGCCCCAGTTTGATACCGGTTTTCCAGAAGTCAGGTCTGTTGAGACAAACAGGAAGTTGTTCAAAAGCAAGTTGTGATGGAATATAGCCTACATGTTTACAACCTTCCTTCTGATAAATTCAATGGGGCTAGTATTCAGGTCGTTGTAAGGTCTGGAAGAAACAACGGCATACAAGCTAAGGATACACTCTAC